CTTAGAGCTGATATTCCAGGATATGCTTGAAAGCTGGATTGCAGTGGATTTTTAGTAAATGTCCATTCCTTTCCTAATCCCCACTGATTGTGTATATATATGTATACTAATATATGAACTAATTTTTTATTGCAATTTAAATCTCTTTGTACTATTTAAAATATGTAGCTATAACAAAAATAAATAAAATGATTTGACATATATTTTCCTTTCAATAAGCAAAACAAAATAAAATAGAAAACAAAAGAAAAAGTTTTGTAGGAGTAGAAATACTTTTATTTCCATGGAATCAACTCCCTATGTTAGGTTTTTCGCTTGTGTTGTTAAACAGCATGCAAAATTGACAGGTTGTGACTTCAGTGTTGATAGCTAGGTGAGTATAGTTTCTTTTTGTGGTTGTCTTTGATGAATTATTTGCACTAGATCATAAATGATGTGCATGTTACATATTGGAAACGAGGAAACAGTGGAGACATACTACCTCCAATGCAGTCATTTTGTTACCGAGTCCAAACTCGTTCTTCTCACCGCATGACAGGCCAATAAACCGGGAGATGAGGTGTTGGAGCAAGGAATAGTGACTTTATTTGCAAAGCTGGCAGGCCCAGAAGATGGCAGAATGATGTCCTGGAGAACCATCTTCCCCAAGTCAGAATTCAGTCTCCTTTTATACTAAAAAGGGTCGGGGGTGTGGTTGGTTGTTGCAAACTTCTTGCTGTATGAATTGTCCTTTGAATCCACTGTTCTTGCAGCTGTCCATGTGGATCAAATCATGGCGCCCCTATAAAACCTCCAAAAAAACAATGGTTATTCTCTATTTTGCATCTTGCCATCTCTACATAAGTGCAGATGAGCTATCGTCCTTAAAGATCACGGCCCGGAGAACTGGCTCTCCTGTAGATGTCAGGCTAAAGGCAACTTTTTTTACAAAAGGTACAGAGCTAGCAAGTCTGAGCCTAGAAAACAGGGCACAGGGTTAAAGCCAAAGGAACAGACCTAAAATGGCATCAAAATTGTTCTTTTCTATTACAATTCCCTTTTCCACTTCATAGATAATTTTTGTAAGAAACATGAGCAATTTTGTATTTTTGCTTTTCATAACCGATAAGTGGGCCAACTATATTTTTGTGAGCAGGGATGCTTTGCGGGCATAGGGGTCACAGCAAACTCTTGTTGGGGGTGGCCGACCGTGCAACATGTCTGATGCCCCGTGAGTGTTGGTGAGGGTCCCCCGAGCCAGGGGCTCTCTTCAGGAACCAGCATATGGGCATTAACCTCTGGAGACCTCTTTTTCGGCTGCAGGAATTTTTTTCAGATACTGCGATTGAAAAATCACTCCAGCTGGAGATAATTGGGGAAAAAAGGAAAAGGAAAAGGGTTTGGAGTAGAGTAGAAGAAAAGGAAATAAGATCACGGAGATTGAGTGCTTCGCAGCTGGGCCTCGGGAGAGAAGGGAGCAGAGGTGGGGAGGGGCCTGGCTTCGGAACCAGCTCCTGCTGCACCTGTCCCCGTTCCCAAGCCACATTGCTTTAATTGGCCTGAGCACCTCTCT